CCCCTCCTGGCAGCCCTATACCATCTCTCACTTCCTGTATGATCTAGTACTATGTATGCTGTGGCTATTCCCACCTATGGGGGGCTGCAGCCTTCTGCCTTCAGAGTGCGAGCTTCTTTCCCACTCCCTTGCGGTCCGATGACACGTGGTACAGCTGATGGAGAGCTGATTGAAAGTCAGGGGGCATGGCTTTGCAAACAGAGGCCAATGAACCGCTGTAAGGTGTTACAAACCCTCAGAGAGGTCCTGCAGCATCATGTAGGGCTTTAGCGGAGTGCCATAGCACAGGCAGTGGCGTACTAAGGGAGGGGCGGGGGTCCGGTCAGCCCCGGGTGCCACTCAATAGGGGGGTGCCAGGCTCTGTACCTCCTGCTCTCCCGCTCCGGCACTCAGTTTGTGAGTCAGAGCACAAGGAGGGGATTCCAAGCCTGTGTTCTTACTCACACACTGAGCTGCAGGGAGGCTGTTTCGGAGTGTACCTGCTGGGGGCGTAGAGCCAGGTTGCTTCCCCGCGGTCACTCTGTACATGCAGGGGATCAGCTCTCTAGATCCCCTGCACCTGCTGCCTGCCTGGGAAGGAGCTGCTGCCCCTGTACCCTCCTGAATGGTAAGTAACTATTATACCCCTCCCTGCCATTATAACCCCCCCTGCCATTATCAGGGCCAGATTAACAGCCCAGTGGGCCTGGTGCTGACAATTATGACGGGCCTAATTAAAGAATCATATCGACCAAAAACACTCCCAAGCGTCATGTATCTGATGGAGATGGTGCTGGAGAGAAAGAAAACAGCAGCTATAAGAAAACACATACTCTATGCTAATCTCTCTCTAATTTATGTTTTCATATTTCAAGTAAATCCATAACCCCTAACAGCAGTGTCCAGTCAAGCAAGAAGTCAATGGGTAAAAGGGTGTGCCACTGACACAAATCACGTAACCTGCCAAAAGGGGCGAACATGCCCAAAAAGAGGACATGTCTGCCCAAAGAATTAGAAACCACCCCCGGGTTAGCCCCCCCATATTGAGAATTTTAACAAAAGATTATTCCATTTGTTAGATCTTTGTTAGATCAGGTTTGATCAACAATTTTTTTCGTTAGATCTACTCTAAAATATGCGATATTAACAATCATTGTCAGGGGGGGGCTAACCCGTAGCCAGCCCCCCCTCAACAAAAATTTGGAGAACATGTTGTTGATTATGATAGCTCTACGTTAGATCAGGTTTGATCAGGCAAAATTTTTGTTTGATCTAGTCTAATTACTGAGATATTGCATATATAATTAGGGGGGGCTGGCCCCCCCTCAACTGAAATTTGGACAAAATGTTACTGATTTTGGTAGCTATTCGTTAGATCAGGTTTGATCAACTGTTTTTTTCGTTAGATCTATCACGCAAGAGGCGGTATTCACTACTTAACTTTGTGGGTGTGACTACGGGTTAGCCCCCTCTCAAGTGAAATTTGAATTTTTTTTATTGATTTTGGTAGCTATTCATTAGATCAGGTTTGATCAACTGTTTTTTTCATTAGGTCTATCACGCAAGAGGCGGTATTCACTACTTAACTTTGTGGGCGTGACTACGGGTTAGCCCCCCTCAAGTGAAATTTGAATTTTGTTTTATTGATTTTGGTAGATATTCGTTAGATCAGGTTTGATCAACTGTTTTTTTCGTTAGATCTATCACGCAAGAGGCGGTATTTACTACTTAACTTTGTGGGCGTGACTACGGGTTAGCCCCCCCTCAAGTGAAATTTGAATTTTTTTTTATTGATTTTGGTAGCTATTCGTTAGTTCAGGTTTGATCAACTGTTTTTTTCGTTAGATCTATCACGCAAGAGGCGGTATTCACTACTTAACTTTGTGGGCGTGACTACGGGTTAGCCCCCCCTCAAGTGAAATTTGAATTTTTTTTTATTGATTTTGGTAGATATTCGTTAGATCAGGTTTGATCAACTGTTTTTTTCGTTAGATCTATCACGCAAGAGGCGGTATTCACTACTTAACTTTGTGGGCGTGACTACGGGTTAGCCCCCCCTCAAGTGAAATTTGAATTTTTTTTATTGATTTTGGTAGCTATTCGTTAGATCAGGTTTGATCAACTGTTTTTTTCGTTAGATCTATCACGCAAGAGGCGGTATTCACTACTTAACTTTGTGGGCGTGACTACGGGTTAGCCCCCCCTCAAGTGAAATTTGAATTTTTTTTTATTGATTTTGGTAGATATTCGTTAGATCAGGTTTGATCAACTGTTTTTTTCGTTAGATCTATCACGCAAGAGGCGGTATTCACTACTTAACTTTGTGGGCGTGACTACGGGTTAGCCCCCCCTCAAGTGAAATTTGAATTTTTTTTTATTGATTTTGGTAGATATTCGTTAGATCAGGTTTGATCAACTGTTTTTTTCGTTAGATCTATCACGCAAGAGGCGGTATTCACTACTTAACTTTGTGGGCGTGACTACGGGTTAGCCCCTCCTCAACTGAAATTTAATTTTTTTTTATTGATTTTGGAAGCTATTCGTTAGGTCAGGTTTGATCAACTGTTTTTTTCGTTAGATCTATCACGCAAGAGGCGGTATTCACTACTTAATTTTGTGGGCGTGACTACGGGTTAGCCCCCCCTCAAGTGAAATTTGAATTTTTTTTCATTGATTTTGGTAGATATTCGTTAGATCAGGTTTGATCAACTGTTTTTTTTTCCGTAAGATCTATCACGCAAAAGGCGGTATTCACAATCTTATTTTAATTTTGCACATAAATACCAGTACATTTTCATATCAAGCCACAGGTGACATCATAATTTAGGAATTTGCTTGGATTTGCTAACACAATGTGTAGATCATTTTCAATATTTTTTTTTTTTATTCTCTACATGCACAGTATTGAGGTGATAAAGTCCAGCATATGCCCCGTCTGAACGTATTAGTGATATTTGAATACAGTTGCAAGAAAAAGTATGTGAGCCCTTTGGAATGATATGGATTTCTGCACAAATTGGTCATAAAATGTGATCTGATCATCATCTAAGTCACAACAATAGACAATCAGTCTGCTTAAACTAATAACACACAAATAATGAAATGTTGCCATGTTTTTATGAAAATTTACTGGTATTTATGTGCAAAATTAAAATAAGATTGTGAATACCGCCTTTTGCGTGATAGATCTTACGGAAAAAAACAGTTGATCTTACTTAATCTAACAAATAGCTACCAAAATCAATGAAAAAAAATTCAAATTTCACTTGAGGGGGGGCTAACCCGTAGTCACGCCCACAAAGTTAAGTAGTGAATACCGCCTCTTGCGTGATAGATCTAACGAAAAAAACAGTTGATCAAACCTGATCTAACGAATAGCTACCAAAATCAGTAACATTTTGTCCAAATTTCAGTTGAGGGGGGGCCAGCCCCCCCTAATTATATATGCAATATCTCAGTAATTAGACTAGATCAAACAAAAATTTTGCCTGATCAAACCTGATCTAACGTAGAGCTATCATAATCAACAACATTTTCTCCAAATTTTTGTTGAGGGGGGGCTGGCTACGGGTTAGCCCCCCCTGACAATGATTGTTAATATCGCATATTTTAGAGTAGATCTAACGAAAAAAATTGTTGATCAAACCTGATCTAACAAAGATCTAACAAATGGAATAATCTTTTGTTAAAATTCTCAATATGGGGGGGCTAACCCGGGGGTGGTGATTAATTGGTCTGTGGGTTGGGATCCAGATCCTGTACGTTTATGCTGTTCATCCTTCTCAACATAGAGAACCTGCAGAGAAGTGCTTGTCCCTAAGGAGTATCCTCTCTTGGCAAGACGCTATCTCCATTAACCTCTTAAGGACAGAAGCAATTGTACAAGTTCTTAGCAAAACAAAACCTAGAATTTGAACTATTTGTCACTTCAACCATAATTTACCTCTTTCATATTAAGTGAACCCACACTTGTGCTTTAAGTGTATATTCTATTGTAGTCAACAGTATTATGACATTCACAGTTCGACATGCAGGATTTGAAAAATAAGATTTCTTAAATGGACACTATAGTCACCAAAACAACTACAGCTTAAAGTAGTTGTAATGGTGTGTATTGTAAATCCCTGCAGTCATTTTAATGTAAACACTGCCTTTGCAGATTAAATGCAGTGTTTACATTGCTACCTAGGAAAACCACTAGTGACAGTCACTCAGACTGCCACAAGCAGGGCCGGCACTTCCTATAAGGCGAACTAGGCATCAGCCTAGGGCGCCATATAAGAGGGGGCACTCTATAGAAAGCCTCAGGCGGCTGCAGTACTGCCTCTCCCCTCCTTCCTTTCCCTGTGTAGCGTGGCCGAGCTCCTCTTCGGTCCGCAGTACAGGAACATCCGTTTCCTGTACCCGGCCGGAATGATAGGAAGTGCACACAGTGTGCACTTCCTGTAAGTCCAGCCGGGTACAGAAAAACAGAAGCTCCTGTACCGCGGACCGGAGAGGAGCTCAGCCACCCACGCTACAGTGGGAAGGGGAGGTGAGGAGAACACGGGGGTGGGGGGAGTAATAATAACACGGGGGGGGGTAGGGAGAAGCACACAGGAGGGTGGGGGGGAGTGAGAAGAACACAGGGAGGGGGATGAGGAGAAGGGTAGATGAGGAGAACACAGAAAGGAGGGAGATTAGGAGAACACAGGGAGGGGGGAGGGGTGAGAAGAGACCACTAGGGAGGGTGGGGGGAGAGCTCTAAGGGACGGAAGGGAGAGCTCTATAGGAGAGGGGGCAGGACAGGGAGCTCTTTCACACACACACACACACACACACACACACAATGCATCCCTATACATACACAGAAACACACAATGCATCCCTACACACACAGAAACACAACATACTTCCCCTACACACAGAGAAACACACAATGCATCCATTACACACACATGCAAACACACACTGCTTCTCTTACATACACACAGAAACACAATGCATCTCTTACAGACACCCAATGCACCCCTAACAGACACGCACACTGCATCCCTTATATACACAGAAACACACCTTGCATTCCTTATGCATACAAACACAGATTCACACAATGCATCCCTTACACACAACCAGAAACACACAATACATCCCTTATACACAAACACTCACTGCTTTCTATCCCTTACACAAAAACACACTGCTTCTACTACACACAAACACACTGCATCACCTACACAAACTGGTATCCCTATACACTACATTCTATAAGCACACACATTAGATCCTCTACAATAACACATAACACATCCCCTACACACTCCAGTCCCTGTGAGCGAACTCGTGGGTGGAACATGTAGGTGTGTAAGAAATTGATATACAAAACTGCAATATTGTATATAACTTTCTGTGTATGTGACTGGTTTCACAAGTTGGGGTCATTTCCTTGATAACAGTGTAATAAGGATCAAAGCTGTCAGTTGCATTTTACAACATCCAGCTAAAACAAAAGCTTGCATCCCTCCAGCAGTTCTCCTGCCAACCAGTTTTCCATGCATGTTATCAGAAGATCAGAGTAATTAACATCTAGGTGTAACCATGGAAGTTTGTGTTTTCCCAAGTCATCCTGTCTAACCTACCCAGAAACCTTACCTAACTGGTCACTTCTTTCACAATGTTACAGTATAGCTGGAGGGAAGAGATCAAAGACTTGTGTAAAGACAGAACTCTCTGGAAAAAGAGGGCGGGATAAACCACCTTTGGGAGGGAAAAGGGATTCTGGGACTTGTAGTTTTTGACAGCAAAAATTAGTCTTTAAAAGGACAACATCCAAGGAAGTCACGCTCTCTTTTTGTCTCTTTTGGAGAGGACAGCGTAGCTAATGGGTGCCATGGTGAACTGAGAGAGGCTGTCCCAGATTACCCAAGATGAAGGCGCAAGGGGAAGACCTACATTTAAATGTTTAAGTATTGCCCTTTTATTATGTAGCTTTTGATTATGTACTGGATATAATGTATATTGTGTATATGCTAAAATCTAACAGTATCCTGAAAGTATCCTTAAATTAATATTTACAATACATTTTATTATACACTTGTGTTTGTGTCTTATTTGTCACACATTCCCTAAAAAAATATCCTTGTAAGAGGGTCATAATTTCTTACAGGTGGACTTATGGGCATACTCACTGTCAGGCCCTGGGGCCCAGACCTTGAGCTGAATAAGGGGCCCCCCAAAATGTAGCTGCTTCCCGTTCTCCCAGAACATTGAATTTTGTGACCACAGTTACAAACAGCCTCCAGAGATCCTGTTCTACACAAGACCATTAGAGCCGCGCTGCAGCCAGAGCCCATCACCATCCTCATATGGTTGTAAGTAGGCAATCTAGTATATTATTAGTGACACTAATCTCTAATTTACCTCACATTAAAGGGACACTATAATCCTCAGAACCACTGCAGCTTAATTAAGTGGTTCTGGTGTCTATAGCCTGTCCCTGCAGGCGTTTTAATGTAAACACACACTGTGTGCAGCACTGGCGTTAGTTCATGTGGCATATCAAATAGGTGGGGCATTGTGATGTCACATCGGAGGGGGCAGCAAATTTTTATTTTGCCTAGGGCGGCTAAAGTCCTTGCACCGGCCCTGGCCACAAGAGGTGCTTCCTGAGTCAGTTCAGTACTGATGTTCAGCGTCTGCATGCAGAGTGTGGAGATGCGGATTGGCACAGATCAACATTTTTCTGTGCATGTACGATAGCCTCCCAATGTTTCCCTATGCAAAAGCATTGGATTAGCTGAGATTGTCAGTTCTGTTGGTCTCAGCCAGGGAGTCTGAGCGGGGGCGAAGCCAGCGCTAGTAAACCTGCATGGCATTGTAATAAAGCTAAGGTTCTTTATATTTATTTAAGGGCAGGGGCAGGCACCTATAATGTGTGTATATATATATATATATATATATATATATATATATATATATTTGTGTTAGGTGCTTAAGATAGTACAGTGTGAAATACCATGAATAAGCGTAGGATGATAAAAGGAGCAAGTCGGTTGTGGTGTGCCGAAACCGACGATGAGGTAGGCCTGAGAAAGAAGAGGGCCCACCCAGGAAAAGAAATAGAAAGGAAAATAAATGTTAAAAGTGGTGTGGTGGGAGGGTCATTCAACGCTGACCTCGAACGGTAAGGAGCCAGGCAAGGGGAGTGCCTTAAGTAGGCTAGGGGTGGAAAACCAGCACCTCCCACAAATGCAGGCAAATTGCCTTAATACTTGTGTTAGGTGCTTAAGATAGTACAGTGTGAAATACCATGAATAAGCGTAGGATGATAAAAGGAGCAAGTCGGTTGTGGTGTGCCGAAACCGACGATGAGGTAGGCCTGAGAAAGAAGAGGGCAAAAATTAAGTAATCAAATTTATTAACAGACAACCAATACATATACATTTATCAACCAGACATGTTTATGAAAGCATCTCTTAACTCTTGTACTGGGTTCGGTATGTACCGTGAGTAAGCGGATGACTTCCAGCGCCCCAGTGTTTTGATAACATGAGTTGGGACGTTGAAACTGGAGGCTGTGGACGCGGCTCCTATACGAAAGGAGTGTCCTGAGTAATTGTTTGCGTTGAGGCCCAGTTGTGTGAGCAAGGACCTGACGTAGGTCATGAAGGTTGTAGTGGTGAGTACTGCACCTTGTAGTTGTAATAACGGTTGCGAGGGCAGTAAGTGATGGTGCTGTATGTAGGCATCAAGAACTTTTACGGGACACCATCTGTTGTGCGTGGGGTAGTACGGAATGTTTACAGGTATGTGCTGGCTGGTTTTGGAGTGAGGTAAAGACAGGATGTAATGATCCATATGTTTTGTCAAGTGGGAATAGAGGAGGAATGGAGTGGTTTGGGTCGTGGAGGTCGTAGTGAATTCTCTGGGTCGTAGAAATCCATAGAAAGCGATGTATATTGCTGTTTTGATGATAGAATTCGTATTAGTGTCAAATGGTTTCAGGTCGAGTAGGTTAGATAAAGCTTTGAAGATATGGTTATCTATGGGTAGCCTCTGGGCCAAATGTGTGGGTTCTGATTTTGAATACCTCTGAGTATGGTCTTAATTTGGTGAGAGGCCATGAAACTGTTGTTATTTGGGTGTAAGATGAGCATGTGGTGTTGAATGCCAGTGAGATAGAGTTTGATGGTGTTATATGACAATCTGAGTTTAAGGTGGCAAAAGGAAGCAAACCCCAAAAAAGATGTCATAACAAACGGTTGTATGATGTTATGTTCCAGAAGGAATCGTTTGAATAGTGTGAAAGCCCTGTTGTATGTTTTGTTTGTATTGTGTGAAAGTGCCAACTGAGACAATGTCCTGCTATGCTGCATGATGACGTCTAGTCCAGTATGAGTTGTTGAAATGTTGGAGTGATGGTGGCTGTGGGTGCTGCTGACGGGAGTGCTTGATGAAACTCCTGAAATTTAAAGCGAGACAAACTGTCAGCAGCTGTGTTGTATACACCTGGCACATGGAAACAACATAGGAAGAAATTATGACAAGCTGCCAACCAAGTGAGTTTCCTCAGAAATCTCATGATCGTAAGAGATTTGGAACGACCTTTGTTGATGATGTGACAGGTCGCCTGGTTGTCTGAGTAACAACGTACTGGTGTATTAGCCCATAAATGACCCCACGCTACGGCAGCCGCCACTATGGGGTAGATCTCAAAAAGAGCTGAGGTAGTGGAAACCTTCCAAATCCAGAACTGCTGAAGGCCAGCTGCCCCAAAGCCATTCGTTCCCAAAAATTGCTGCAAAACCAGTGGTAGATGCCGCATCTGACCAAATGGTAGGAGATGATTCAGTCAATTGAGGGAGGAACATACTTTACCATTCCAAGTGGTTAAAACCCTCTTCCACATGTTTAGATCTGCCGTAGCTTGGGCATCTAAGGACAACCTGTGCGTGTCATGTAGAAAAAGTGGGAAAAGATGCAATAGTCGTGAAATAAAGGAGCGGCCTTGAGGTATGATGCGCATTGCAAAATTTAGTGACCCCAGCAGGGACTGTAGTTCTTTGCGGTTGCAAGTGCCGAGCTGTAGGTAGTTGTTTATGTAAGTGAGAATATTGTCTATCTTTCGTAAGGTAGGCTTGCTTGCATTGTGGCAGAGTCTAACTGGATACCCAGAAAAGTGATAACCGTGTCTGGCCCTTCTGTTTTCTTTTGGGAGATGGGTACACCTAGTTGCTCAAACAGCTTAGTGGTAGCTTTGAGGCTAGTGGGAGGTGCAGTATTCTCCTCGACCAGTAGGAAATCGTCCAAGTAATGTAATACTGTAGGGCATCCGGCTATGTTCAATAGTAACCAGCATAGTGCTTGGGCAAATGTGTCGAAAATAGCTGGGCTACTTTTGGACCCAAAAGTTAACCGGGAGAAAAAATAGTAGTTCTCGGACCACTTGATGCCATGCAGGTGCCACAGTGTGGGGTGGATAGGGAGTAATTTGAAGGCGTTAGTAATGTCGGTCTTACTGAGCCAGGCTCCCACCCCTGCTTGTATGATGGCTGTAATGGCGGGATCTATGGTGGTGTATTGCAGAGAGAATTCCTCAGAGGGTATGAGGGAATTAAGACTGGGGTTGGCCGATGAGTGGGGAGCCGATAAGTCAATGATGAGTCTCTGTTTTTGGGAAGATTTCCCTGTGACAATACCAATAGGGTTGGTGCGCCATTCTGTGAATGGGGGAGTTCTAAAAGGCCCCAATACAAAGCCCTCCTCCACTTCTTGGTTTATGAGGGTGTCAACCACTGTGGGGCTGTGTTGGGCGGATTGTAGGTTTGGGCATTCCAGAGTGCCAGCTGGTATGTGTAGGATACCTGTGTGGAAGCCTTCTGTCAAACCAGAAATAAGAAAATCTACCAGGTGTCTAGATGGGTGCTGAGACATCAATGCTGTGAATACTGGCATATTAATGGACGTAAGGTAAGGCTTAGAATACATTTTATTTGGACACATGGTCTTAGCATGTGCCCTAAAACATTTTGAACAGACATGCAATAGTCTACATCCACTGTAATTACAAGACCCAACATTGAAATTATTACATATCTGGGACTTGCCCAGAAACTTGATTGGGCGTCCCAATTTGTCTTTGGATAGTTCCCTGGATCCCCAGAGGAACTAGTTCCTTGTGTGGAGGCATGTCCGTCTGCCGTGTTGGGACAAAAATTAGTAGTATGGGCTGTGGAGGAGCAGTATGCACAAGCTGATGTTCTTAGACCTGCAAAGTGTCTGCAGAATAAGACGGTATCAATCCTTCCCCAGTTGGACCGTGTACCGTACTGGGAGAAGGCTCCAGCCACTTTTGCAGAAAAAAACCTATGGTAGTCATAGAATGCTGAACCACCATATTTGTTGCCCAGGTCTACCAGCTTGTGCATATAGAGATCGAACTCCTCTCTTCTGTTGGGATAGACCGCACAGACGACATCCCTGTAAATACCAAATGCTAGAACAAATTCAGGGATAGTCAGTTTCCTGTTCAGGCGGGCATCCCTAGATCTGACAATAACAGAAACATCATCATAAGCATACGTCTTATGTTCCACAATGTCCTGGGAGGCAATCAACAGGGAAGCCAGGTTGACGTCTTCACCTTCCAGGATATGCCTTTTGATATGCTCAGGTATCATGTGGGCCGGGCTAACTTCCTTGTCATCCAGCGGGCTGGCTGGAGCGACTAATGGCAAGGCTGGTGTTTGTACCGCAGCCGCGGGTGGCCCTGCTAGAGTGAGGGCCGTGGTGACCGACTCAAGTTTCTCCAGCCTGGAGTTGACCTTGCCCATGGATGCCATGAGTGAGGATAACATGGCATGTATGTCCCCTGGGTTAGACTGGCTAGATCCTTCCCCGGCTTCCATGTTATTGGTTGATGTGCGTAGCAGTTTGAAAAGTTCTGCCTTCCTTGCTGTAGCGGGGTAGGGGATTTGTC